CCCCCTTCCCTGTCCTTGTCCAGAGACCCTGTAGCCATGGAAGCTGGAGAGGAAAGGGAAGAGGAGGAACACAACACACCTGGTCCTGTGTGTTTGGGACAATGATGATTTGCACTCTTCCCTTCCCCTTCACCCCAAATCACCCTTTCGGTATGCCAGGAGGGAAACCACAGAGCCACTGCTCAAGGCTGCTGCATGCTGCTTATGTCTTGCCTGAGCTATCTGACAAAAACTGGTCAATTCCTCCGAGTCCCCAGAATTTTCTTCTCTAGAGCAGGCTGGGGTGTCCTGCACAAAGCTAAGGTGCTGGTTTAGCCCTGGGGGACCTGAATGAAACGACCTACCCTGCAGAAATAGCTTTCTCCGAGAAGCATTGTGTGGCCAGTGCTCCTGAAGAGCTGGCTTCTTCAAGGTCTCCCTCAAATTAGAGGGAGGGTCCCAAGGCCTCCAACTTCCTCTGGAGGACGCGTATCTTCGGGGTCTCAAAGTGCCAGATCAGATTTGATGGAGTTGGACAGTGCCAAGCTCTCCACTCACATGTCTGTTCTGCAGTGTGGAGGGCAATGTGCAATTAACAGCAATGCTCTGAGCAGGGGCCTGCTGCAGCCAGGTGGGGTGTGATGCCACAAGCAGGGGCTGAAGTCATGCCCCAACCAACGCGCCGTTCCAGTACGGACACGCAGAAGCTGTGCAAAGGGATATGTGACTTGCTGTCTGGAGAGGAGAAAGGCTCCGTTCCCCTCCTTGATCTGTCAGCCCCAGCAGACCTGCGCATCGCAGGAGCTGCTCTGCTGCAGGACATACATTCAAATCAATTCTGAATTACAACAATGCAGAATGTGTTTTTTCTCCCTCTTAAATACACAAACAAAGCTAAAGAACAAACAGGCAGGGACAACTATGGTCCACAACTGAACACCAAGTTCCCTGTCTCTGAATACCCGTAGTCTTACCTACCCTGGGACGTGGTCTCTCAGGGTTTCTTACAAACAAATCCCTGGATGAGGAGCTCTTCAGTGAAAGAGCAAGATGAGCACGCAGAATAATAAAGGAAAAAGAAAAACTGAAATGACACTTGGGAAGTTTGGTGTGGAAAGACTACAAAAGCAACAAAATACTGTAAAGAATTTTTGGCACCAGCAATAATACCAAGTGGGATAAACCAAAGCAGTTAATCCTGCTCCCACCAGTCTCGCTTCCTTGTATTTCTGGGTTATGGAGCCCCAGCTCTTTGCCTGCGCCTCTTTCTTACTTTTATTTTATGTATTTTAGAAGCATGGTCTAATCTCTCCAGCAAGTATGGTACTTGAGACAACTCTATTTCTAGGGATCTCTGAGTACCAGATCCCAGTGGAAATGAAAACATTTTGTCAGATAAAAAGACCATGCCTGCAAAGAGCCAGGAAACATAAGCTCATTTTCAAAGAGCAGTGCAAGCCCTGCTGCCATGAAAGCTTCAGCTGTTGTATTGATTTGGACTTGCTGTGTGGAACAAAGGGAAAGGGGCTGGACAGGGGCTGGACACAGTCCTGCAATGTGAGAGAAATTAAAGTGAGCTCTTGTTACACATCACACTTCCACCTGCAGGTTATGTCCTTATTCCTCCAGCCTCTGGATTGTTATCTACTTAAAATGCCACAAGTTAACCAAAGAAAAGCTAACTCTGGTCTGGGAAAATCTTCCCTGCTAAGATGAAAAGTGTCAGCTGCTGCTTTAGCCCAGGGTATTTCCCAAAGGAGTTTTCCCAGAGAAGCAAAGAGGAACATTTTTCTTCCTCTCTCCCCTCAGGTGTAAATGACTGGAGAACAGCACGTACACATGTTAAGCAGTAAAAAAACCAGGAGGGGTGGGATTCCTATCGCCTACCTTTAGACTTGGACAACTACCTCTATCCCTCTACGTGCTCCCTTTTCAGCTGGGGGGGGGAGAAACAACCAACTGCAGAGGGTGACTGACTAGTCTCATCCCAGCACACACCAGATCAATCCTGCCCAGAATTCCAGATAGCACTCAGCTTGAGTAACCACATACAAACCAATTTCATGTTTATATTGTGACTCACTGCGTATAATATTTGATTTGGCTTTGGAATGGAAGTACTATGTGAATTTGGGAAATATAGATAGCTGCTGAGTGTTATTATGGACTCCTTTGCTGCAAGCCTCTTCCTTTGGAACAACAGTGATGAGATATAAAAATGAGGATATAAATTCTAATCTATTTGATTAATTTTGGTAAATACTTTTTCCCCTGTTTGTTCAAGTTTGTCCTGTCAGGTCAACAGGGTTACCATGCTTATTACCAAGAGATACGTATGCACGTGGGCCTAAAGCTGACACAGTTGAAATGAGGGTGGGAAGATGTACTTTACTTTTGACAGGAGTTTTTGGCATGGCACAGTTTGGGGTTGTGGTTTTTTTCATCAAGATCTGTTGTTTTGGCAAGTGATCAAATATTATGCAGTGACTACAACCGATACTCAGAATTTAAAAAGTACTATTTGGCCCTGCACTCCAGAACTAAGCAAGCCACGTCTTTTCACAACGAGCTCTTGTTCACTTGTGATTATAAACAGCCACGCTGATGCATGCCAGGCAGAGCATTTCAACTTAAGCTCCTGGGTCAGCGAGTCCGGGGTATGTTTTTCAAGCCCATATGTATCTAAGGCTTAGGCGCAGCCACGTAGTGAGCTGTTCTACCTGATTCTTCAGTTCTTACTGCCAAAAAGAACTGACAGTCTTGGTATCCATTGCATACCTAACGCATACCACGTGCAAGGGATGGTCCCTGAGTATCGGCACACTGAGATCTGACTGCTGAGGTCTGCCAGCAGAAAATGCCCTGAGCCTCATCTCTCTGCAGCTCTCGCTTACTCCCTCTTTCTGCTTTGCTCAGCTGAGAAGTCTCTCCTGGAGTCAGGGCTGGTGTAAGCTTTCCCTCACCAAGCACAGCAAGCAGGATGCAGCCACCTTTTATCCACAGCAGGCATTTATAGCAAGAAAAACATAGTTCCTCTCCTTTCCTGCCAGAGGTGATTTCAGGTTGCCTCTCCCTCTTTCCTGGCACACTGTAACTGCTGGGCCACTGGGAAGAAGGGGGGCAGGCTCTGGCAACCCCCTTCCAGCCATGCTCATGAGGAACCTGATTCAGCACATGTATGTCTTGGGAATGACGGTCACATTACGCCTTTGACTGAGAAATGCCACCAGTCCCGGCGGGTTACAGACTAACCGAGCTACTGACTTTCTTGTCGCTGCTGCTCAGCATGGCCAGGACTTCTGGCATGTAGGACCAGAGCAAGGGGACGGCTGAGCGGTGGCTTTCGAGGAGCTCAGAGTGATGCCACCAATACCAGCAGCTGACAGCCCGAGCTCAGTTGTGGCTCTTGCACATCTTTG